ATCGGAACAGTCGCCAGAGCGGTAGGGGTGGTGAAGGTGGGATGGGTTAATTATATTATATTAGAATTAAATATTTAATAATAAATTAATTTAATAATTTATTATTTCATAAATAAAAATTTAAAAATTTTTAATAAAAATATGATTTTGAAAATTTCAAACTTGTTTTCTTATTTTTGAAATTGGCTAGACTTATTCTCTTGAATATGTAATCTTTCCATCCATTATCTCTTTAAAAACAGAGCCCAATAGTCATTAGAAAGTTTAAAAACAAGGGGATGATCTTTTCTCAAACCAATAATAATTCAACATATATGGCAGAAGTGTGTATATATACAGTACGACATATCAAAAACATGAGAAGCACTAATTGATGTAACAGCTATAGTGCAAAATGAAACAAAGAATTGCTTTCAAATTATCTTCTAGATCTTTGATCCATAAATCAATAAGCAAAAAAACGATAATCTTTAATGAAAAATCAAGAATTCTCTAATTTGGCTCTGATACCACATGTAAGCAATTATATAACTCTAATATCAAGATATTTAGAATTCATGATTTTCACATATAGATTTAATTGATCAAGAAACATACCTTGATCCATAGCAATAATTGAAAGATTTAAATCTGCAAAATAGAAACTAGTAAAATCTATAAGATGTTCTCTCTCTTGTCCTCTCTGTAATTGAATGTTTTAATTGATGGACTATATTCACGTTTACAGACAGGGAGTGACGATTTCATGGGCTATAAAAGAAAATTACCCACTTTCCATCAAAATGGACAGTTATTAAACTGTCACTTCTCAATTGATCAATAGAATTTTAGCAATAATTAACCACTATTAACTAATTTATTAATAATATTACTTGTGCCAAATTAATTGGTACACTATGTGCATCTATAGCTTCATCAAACTTAAAAGACCTTGCAAGTGATTGGTTTGATATACGGTCGAGTAATTGCTGGCCAAATGTTCTTTTCAATGTCCTTCAAAAGAGTAGCATCGGCAATGGGACTTGTCGCTGCACAAGATTCCAAATCTATTCCAAGATTTCATGAAAATCAAAGTTATTTATGGTAAAACTTCTATTAAAAATACTTCTTGGTTAAAAATATTTACTATTTTGGATGAATTATTAATTTATCGAATAATATGCTAAATTTTAAAAGTGTTTTATATTTTTACTAGTTGTGTTATTAATCAAGATAGGTGTATGCCTAAAAAATGAAATAAAATAATGAATATGTTCAAAACTAATGTTTAGATATGTGTGTACATAGAAACTTAAAAGATAATGTGTGCATACATAAAACCATTAATATTGAATCATTTTTCTTGCCTCCAAATATGACATCAAATATTCAACTATGAAGCTCAGATAATTCAACTGCTAAAAAAGCATTATCAACATGGTTTTTTAATTGGCATCTTGCAAAGCTACGAGGTAGGAATTCCAAGACTCGGTACGATGAAAATATTGTTTCTGAACTGAAGTCGGTAAAAATAAATGCTTTCATAGATTACATAAAGTCATTTAGAAATGATGAATGTCAAAGCACTTTTTTGAATAATTTTAGTAAAAATGATATGATGATGAATAGTACTTTTGGGATTTAAGTCCCCGTTTGTTTCTCATTTTTCATCCATAAAAATGAAAAATATGATCGTTATCCATCACATCAAGCCATCAATTTTGAATTTCTATCTCTTGTGTGGGGCCCAATAACGACTATATTTTTCATTCTCATTCTACAATAATAAGAATCAAACGGGCCATAAATCAAGAATTTTGAGTAGGGNCTATATTTTTCATTCTCATTTTACAGTAATAAGAATCAAACATGCCCTAAATTTATTGGATAAGTTAGATTATTAATTTGTCGAATACTATATATTATACACATGACAACCAATTTTTTAATGTAATTTTTTTCACGAAGTTTTTCCTAGTATATTTTTATGGTGGCATATTTTTTTGAAAAAGACATCCTCATTAAACGTTTATTTTGCAATTAACGTGGTAACAATTGGAATGCTGCAAAAGTCTAAAGCGAAAAAAGAAAAAGAAAAAAAG